AGCAAATCACACTGCCACGTGTGTTCCTATGCAACAATTTTGCATGTTCTTCACATGTACCCCAAAACCTAAAATGCAATAAAATAAATAAATGGGGAAAAAAAAAAAGTAATTCACTGACAGAAGTCTTACCTGGATTACTGTTTTGAGAAGAGCTTTTGGACATCTGTTTTTCTTTGTAGTCAGAAAGTAACTGGCAAATTCTATGTATAAAAATGTAACAAATAAAATGACTATATTAATACTGATACAAAAAATACTTACCAAATGTAAAATTCTTAAGAGTATTTCAATAATATTAGAATATCAGAACTTAACAATATTATCCTATCAACTTATGTGTACATTCTACAAAGTTCTCATTAAGCTTCTAATTGAAGAAGAAAAAAAGTGAGATGAAATACTCATAAATCAAGGGCACTATGACTCGGTAAATTAATTTGCATTAGCTTGACATAATAGAAAGTTTCCCAACTCCGAGTAAGTCCTAGCTCCACAATGAACAGCTATTTATTCTTGGAAAATTCACTTCTCTTAGGCTCAATGTCTTCCACAAAGTGAGGACTCTGCTGCCTTATTTCACTAGGTTGTGATAAAGATTAAACAAGATAACATTTGTTAAATGCTCAGAGAAATAGTAAAGCCATGGAATAATCTGTTCCTAAACTTTATGATTAAAATTATCTTGGAATCCCAAATAAAACCCAATGTGTGGCCGGGTGCCGTGTCCCACACCTGCAATACTAGCACTTTGGGAGACCGAGGCGGGCAGATTATGGGGTCAAGAAATCAAGACCATCCTGGCCAACATGGTGAAACCTCATCTCTACTAAAAATACAAAAAATTAGCTGGGCATGTGGCATATGCCTGTAGTCTCAGCTACTCAAGAGGCTGAGGCAGGAGAATTGCTTGAACCTGGGAGGTGGAGTTTGCGGTCAGCCACAGTCGCGCCACTACATTTCAGCCTGGCAATACAGCAAGATTCCGTTGAAAAAAAAACCCCAATGTGTATTTTGTTCATAGGTCCTAAGATGCAAATGTAGTTTTCAGAGAATGTTATTAAGTCTTAATTTTGCTTATTAGTTGTCCTATTCTTTATGGCTTATAATTCAGGGCATCTCAACTATTTCATAGTTTGTAACTAAATTTATTCATAAGTATCTCATTAAAGTCAATAACGTGATTGTCCACTATACAGAGTTTATCAATCAAACCAAGAACAAAAAAAATCAATGGATGTCAAGACGTGGCTTGGACCAATGATCCTTCTCTACAGACTCACATTCTGAACCAACAGATGTTTTTTAGGATGATGCTTCATATCCATGTTCATCTCCAGCTGACATAGAAGACCAAAACCCTACTTTTTTTTTTAGATTCCATGAAGAAGTTGCAATTTGACATTCTCTAATTTTCAAGATACATAATAACAATATATTTTGCACAAAACACCCCACATATTATTCAGCTCTGGCGTAATCTCACAGACCACCTTACATGAATATTGTTGTAGCGCAAATCACAATTTCAATATTTAGGTGGCACCCGTTTTGCTTCAATTCACACCATTTCCTTGGAGCTAGTCAGCATATAGTCAAATGACCTTCCAGTGACTGTGCAAATATGGAATGCTTCAAAAATCTGTGCAGCTACCCTATGCAGGGCCATGCTAATTTTCTCTGTACTGTTCCCATTTTAGGGTATGTGCTGCTGATGCAAGCACAAAGCCCTACTTTTACAAATGGACAGTGATGAGTCATGGACAAGGTTTGGCTCTAAGTCCAAATAACCTACTTGAGATCCCAAGAATTATCTTCAACGGCTTTCTGTGAGGTAGAATTTCAAAATACTTTTAAATCTTGAGGAAGAGATGTAAGTAGTTTTCATCATTATGGAAAACAGATCACTGAAGGGGCCAATCACAACTGGATGCCCACTGCTCTGAAGAAGGTTAAGATGGGACTTTCTATTGCCTAAGGTATGTATAGTACCTTAGGATATAAAGATGCTTCAGGGTACAGATCTGGTAGCAAAGAAGAAACAAACACTGATCTCTTTCTGCCACATTATTTGAAGCTCTCTGATAGTTTAGAACAAGCCTAACCAATACATGCTAGAGAAAAGACCAACCTGGAACTCAAAGGATCTCTTACCATGAAGGTATCAGTTAAGTCTAGGATAAGATGTGAGTTCCACATCAGGTTTTCAATGTGGGGGGAGGAGTCGATTTGCTCACTTTGTGTGTGAATAAAGCCAGGATGCTGAGCTGCCCGAGCAGGGTGCTGGTACCTTGAGAACAATGGCTGAGCACATAAGCATATGTATGTGAACTAAAAAACGTGGTAACTTTGAAGTCTATGTATGAAGACTTGAGGGATCTGAATCAGTAAGGGCATCTTGGTGTCAAAGGTCAACTAGGCAGCAGGACCAGTTTCAGTGGCAACAGAATCAACGGAAACAACAGAACAATTAACGTGTCCTTTTTCTTCTCCTCCTTCTGACATGATAAAAAGGACTGTCTTCTTTGGGCTTATGAACACCTTTGGTTCTTGAAAAATTCAGAGTACATAGGAAATAGTCCCCAGAAGACAGTCTAACACTTCCTGCTAAACTGGACATCTCAAGACCCAAATGACTCATCAGAAAAAGTCAAAGATGTGACATTATTTTTTATCCCACGCATAGGTGTTATACTTGGAATGAAATAAACAATGTTGGGATCTCTAAGGATAAAGGTCTTAAAAGTCCTGAGATAAAGAATCCTGTACCCATTGGTTCTTCTAACTAGTCTAGCTTTTTGTTTGATTTCTAGCTGATGGGGGGGGGACTAACTCACTGCCACTTTAAAACTACCTTAACCAAACTATGACATCTCACCTGATATATAAGATACAATGGTTATAATTATTTTAAACCTCAATTTAGTGTTAACTAGCCTTTTAATGTGAACACTTACATATCATGACGACTGGAAACTGCGTAATCTTCAGCAGTCCGTCCAGATGCATCTCGAGAGAATACATCGATACTTTGCTGAAGTAGAATGCTAACTATGCTTGCTGATCCACGACACACAGCAAGTATGAGAGCAGTTCTAAAATGACAGAGAGAATTTCTTCCTTAGGAACTTTAATAAAGCTACTATAAAAGCTAGTTTGATATACTTTACCAATTTAATATCTTGCCTGTCCATGCAGAATTAAACATTTACATGCACTAAAAGACGTAAGCATCTTGAGTGCCTAAGTGTTCATCTTTGTAAAATACCACCAAGGTTAAAAGGAAGGGTCAAAAAGGAAGACTCTTATCTCAGTGGGGTATTGCATAGTAGAAGTTACTAATTTAAAGGCCTTTGATGAGCAAGAAACTATGTTATGGCTGCTTATCTGAAGTGGACAAAGATTTAAGTGAAGATTTTTTCCCAGCTTCCCTAGACTGATACCCTTAATAGAAAATCAGCCAGAGGGTCAGATAAATAAGAATATTCTGCATGCTGAAAGCAGTAATATTAATAATAATGGTAAGAAGTGTAGTCATAGTAGTTTCAGTTAATGATGCCAATAAGCATGTGCTATGCACTAAATTAAATGCCAGTCTTGCACGAATCTAAAGCCTAGTTCTTTTCTCTTCATCACCCACCTACAACTTGCCTTCATTAAAGGAAAACTGTATCCAGTTAAAACTATCTTCACTCCCTCTCTCCATACCAATTTAAAAAACATCAAAATACACTGGAAATAAAAAAGGAAAAAAGCTGATGAACCCAAAATACGTGGGAATAGCAATTAATTGTCATGTAGGGATAAGCAAACATTAATATTCTTCAAAAAAAAAAGCAACTTAAAGCAGAGCCATTCAAAATGATTTTCAATTCCTGTTTACGTTTAATATAGCATATTTAGTGGAAAAGCATATAAGAAGCAGAGGTTAAAAACTACTAGCAAGGTTTAAGAAGTTCAAAACTGAGTCATAAACTAAAATAAAAGTTAAAGTTCACACTTCATAACACTAATATGAACTCCCTTTAGCTAATGTAAGATCATATAACCAAAAATGTCACATAACATATAACATCAATCAATATAATAAGAGAAGATGAATCCTACTAAAACTGTTCTTTATGTGAACTAAAAAAAGTGGTAACTTTGAAGTCTATGTATGGATCGCCATGTAACTGCTTATCCCAGTCCAAGTAACTGCTATTCCCCTTAACTCATTTGTGTTGATAATCATCACTACATCCCAATAAATAGAAGTTAATCTTATTAATTTACTATTTATGTCTTGAGTGAATATCACTCTAAAACACACAGATTAAAAGAATTAACTATACCTTCCAAACCTATCAAGTGCATTTAAATTAGCTTTTTTCTTGACTAAAAATTTCACCATTTGCTCTTTTTGTCCATGTACGCCCAGCAAAAGTGGTGTCAGGCCACTCTGTAAAACAATATAAAGCAAAAACAATATGTAATTCAAAAAATTACATATTTCTCAACTGAACTGGAAACTTTAAATAAGATCCTATGGACTTATAGTCACAGAAAGGAAATAAAACGTTGTCGCTTCCTTCTCACTCTTCTGTGCTTTCCCACATGCTCCTCCTTCCCTTGAGAAACACCTCTCCTCTGCCTCACCGCATTAACTCTGGTCATCTTAAAAACTCACTTTAAATATTTACTGGTTCCAAAAATCTTTGCTTCTAATCCAGCATTTGACATGGTATTATTAGATAATGATACTTTTTCCCATCTAAACAAAGAGCTTCTTGAGTGCAAGGCCTGTATCTTTTACCTCTATATCCTCAAACCTTATGACATATCTTTGTGTATAAAGCAAGAATTTGCATGTAAAATATTTCTTTAGTTTCACATGTTTTACTAAAACATTAAGCTCCAACATGCAACAAAAATTGCTATTAAGACTCATACTGTCAATTTTTCAAGGATTTTTCCAACATTTATTCATTTAAAATCTATTTGTATTTAATTTTCCCAGATTGTTAACTAAATAGATAATGAATTCAAACTGCTAAAACTAAATTAACAGAATTTCTATCTGTATTCTTAATAATTCTATGGCTTTTAGTGTTTAAAACTGCCATTCCTGATTAAGTCAAAGCTCTACAAATTTAAGAGACATACTGGATAGTCCATAATACAGCTTCAATTGACAAAAAAGGTTTAGAATTTGCTACAATTCTGATTGAGAAAACTCTGCTCTTAATAACGACTTACTGACCTAAGCACTTGAATGATGACAAAAAGACGCAAAATCCTGAGGGAACCATCGTCTACTTATTGAAAGACTACTCATTGCAAATTTCTAAAGACCTTCTGAATAGCAGTAAATAACTGATAGTAGGAAGGAAAAATTACTATTCTGTCAGCTTAGAGATACTTCCAGTAATATTCATTTTAATGTCCCTACCACAGAGATAAAAGTCAGATTAGGCCAGGTATAGTGGCTCACACCTGTAATCCTAGCATTTTGGGAGGCTGAGCTTGGGGAGGTTAAGGCTACCGTGAGCTGTGGCTGCACCACTGCGCTCCAGTCTGGGAGACAGAGTGAGACCCCATCTCAAAAAAAAAAAATGAAAAAGAAAAAAAGACTAATATTATTGGAAAGGAAAGATTTAAAGGAATTGGCACATATCCAACTTCAACTCTTCTACAGATATCTTAAGTTTCTGAGATATGTGAATTTACATATTATTTACATCTATTCAGTGGTTCTTAGGCAGGAGTATCTGCATTTTAAGGAATTTGTCCCTGTTGTTGATGTTGTTAGAGACAGGGTCTCATTATGTTGCCCAGGCTAGATTCAAACTCCTATTCTCAAGCTATCCGCCCACCTCAGCCTCCCTAGCAGCTGGAACTACAGCCATGCACCACCATGCCTGGCTTCAAGGAAATATTTTTAAACATACGTATCCAGGCTTTATTAGACTTACTCTATCAGTATCTTCAGGGTAGAGCCTAGACTTGTAGATCATTAAAAACGTTTCCTCAGGTTACTGGGATGCACAATTCTGACAACTAGTACAACACACAATTACTTCAGTCTCATCTCTCACCCACATGACAAAGTCCCTTTATCACTTGAGTATTTGGCCAAAAAGAGGAAAGAGTAGGAGAGAGACTCATTTGCTGAAAAAACCACATAATTTTCCAAGGTAAGAGTAGAACAGGGTCTAGTAAACTCAAAATCCAACTTGATCTTGTTACTTATAAGTGCCTTATGAACCACCTTCCTATCAAGACATTCTAGATTTGAAAGCAGAATGAGACTCTAATTGCCCATTTCTACCAGAATAGGATAATAAGTCAGTTGATTACTTATTATTCCCTCTGCTCAAGGGTTTCCCACTACATTACCACCTATTCACTGCCAGTCTGGTTCCTCAGAGGCCTCCGAAAATTGATCTCTAGGGAGCTAACAACTCACTAACTCCCTTTCCCAAACTGAAAACTATCATTACCTAAAACTGACGAGATCCTTGTGTTACCATACAATGAAAACAGATAAATGAACACCACCACACACACACACACACACACACACACACACACACACACACAATCTCTTCATAGTTTTTTTCTCCATTATCTAATTGAAAAATTGGCCTCAATATTTCTGATTTCTCTCTTTTTCCCTTTTCATTTCTGCCTCATGAGCAATCAGAAATATCTTAAGCCTTGCCACTGAGAGATACAACACTTCATGTATACTACTTTTTTTTTTTTTTTAGGAACTTGCCAAAGCAGCAGGATTTCTATTCACTGAAATATAGTTTAGTTTTCTTGGAGTTTTAATGTAAAACCTATTTCCAGGGCAAATTTTGTCATTTTACATTGATTAGGGGCAAAAAAAAAAAACCTGGAAGGGAAAATTTTTTAAAAAACAAGTATTACCTTTTATAATTTCAGTGTTTTCAAAAAACAATTTACCACAAGTGCATTAAAAAAAAAACTGTACCCTCAAATGTTTCCTTAAAAGTAATAATATTTAACATAAAATCTTAGATAATAATTAAGTCATTTCAAAATATTTTCATTCAGGTTATGCTTGAGCTTCCAAATATGGAAAACTGACCATTACACAGGTCAGTGTTCAAACAAATGCATTTCAGTATTTTGAAAATAAAACTGGTAGATCTATACCTTGTTTGCTGAGTCAATGTCAGCACCGTATAAAAGCAGTGTTTTGGCCATTAATTTGTCTTCATTGTAGACCGCATAGTGTAATGTGGTATTGCCATACACATCGGGAATATTTGGATCAGTGCCATGTTCTAGTAACATTAATGCACTTTCATCTTCTTGGCATTGTATGGCCTGCGAGTATTATAAAAAAACAAATTATAAGTGTTAAGAATTCAAAATAAACATTCCACAGCTTTCACCAACTAGTTATATTTACATGAGGAAACTCATTTTTATTCTATGTACTGAAATCAAATCCATCTCACGCTGATATAGTTGACTACTGCATACCTTTATTAGCGCTGTCCTCTTTTTGCTATCAAAGACATGAAGGTCACATTGTCTGTCCAACAGGAGTTTTACTACTTCTGGATTTCCACTGGCACAAGCCAAATGGAGAGCAGTCCTAGGAGAGTAAGAAGGCTTTTTAGGAAATTGTGGTCTACTATTTAAAGCTATATCAATGATTCACGTAATTGCAAACACTGAATAGCCTGCTATTCCTCTTCCTTCAAAACAAACACTTAATTTTCCTGTGAAGAAAGCACACTATTTGTTACCTCTCATTACTCACTGTTTTAATGAAAGAGCAGTCTATTTGAATAGAAAGATCATGGCCCTTGGATTCCATTCAACTTGGGATGGAATCCTACTTTAAGCTCTGTCACTTCCTAGCTGTTGCTTAGCCTTTTTCTGTCTCAATTTCTTCATCAATAAAATGGGAATGAACTGTCCTATTCATTTATGTCTTTTCAGCTGTTAGTAAACAATTTGTGAAAATAGCACATGCACATTTTTATATCTGGAAAGGCAAGTCTTTTTCCATTCTGTTACAAAAAATGTATCACAATAATAAAAGACAGCATGTGTAATTTAAAAGTGCTAAAACTTTGCTATTTTTATTTGGCTTAGGTGAAAATGAGAAACACAGAAAGAGCTCACATCTTAAGAAAAATGTATCTTCCTAGTCAAGGACACAAACCATCTTCCCATTTCAGTTTCCTTCCAAGGTTCCTCAGTAAATAACATATTTACATAGGGTACACTCATATAAAATGCATGTTAGATTTTATTTGAAGAATATTTAGCCCAGAAGTTGACATATGATGGGGCTTAGTTCTCAATATACCTTTCTATAATGTAAATAACATTTTTAAAATGTTTACATTAAAAATAATCTGCTGCATCAACTTAATTTTACAAGTTAAATCATTTTGAAACAGTCAGTGTTCTATAAGGGAAATTATAACTGGATTGGAAATCAGCTAAAGTTGTGTTTTTGTGTTGCTACTCATAAAGAGGCCTGTGCCCTGACCTCTGAGTTTTCCAAACTCTGGGTGGCGTGTGTCCTGCGGAGGAGAGAAATCCAGCCCCCCCGACCCCCTGCTGTGCCAGGAGCGCATGTCCCTACCCCATGTCCCCACATCCCGCCTCCTCCCAGCCCAGGCCAGGTTACCTCTTCTTTTTGTCTCTCTTGTTCACGCCGGGGCCCCTGAGCATGATGATGAGATCCGCTCTGGGGACTTTACCCCTCCAGGCAGCTCTGTGGAGCTTGCCCAGATCTTCTCGACGGACGTGGTACCTTGGCTCCCTGAAGGCGCTGTCGTCGTGGTCTCCCCAAGCGCCCACGTTGTTCTTGCCACTCCCCCAGCAGCAGGGGAAGCAATGGCAGCACCACTTGCCCATCGTGCTCCTGAGGCCAAAGGGCTTCTTCATAGGGGAAGCAGACGGCTTTGGAGAAACCTCGGCCCCCATCCACTTCTACCAGCCCGAGGAGCCGGGTAGTAGCCAGTCGCCTCTGCCAACAAGTTTCACCAACAAGCAGGAAACTCCAAGTTTCCAATCTGTCAGAGGAGAAAGGACAAGCCCAGCCAAAACCTTGCCAAGCCCACCGGGAGAGACCAAGCCCAGCAAGGTTTGAAAGGCCACACCCACCCAGGGGAAGTCCACGCCCACCCAGGGGAAGCCCCGCCCACCCCAGGGAAAGCCCACGCCCACCCAGGGAAAGGCCAATCCCCCAAGGAAACACCCAGCCCAGTCAGGGGAACTCCAAGCCCAGTCTAGAAAAGGTCAATCCCAGCAAAGAAACTCTAAGGGAGAAAACGCCAATCCACTGGAGGACGACCAAGCCGAGCGACGAACGCCAAGCCGAGCGACGAACGCCAAGCCAAGCGACCCACGCCAAGACAAGCCGTTACAGACGCATGCGTGGAACGCCAAGCCAGCTGTTTACACGCGTGCGTCGCAGGTACCATCGTGCGCGTGCGGCGTGCGCGTGCGGCGTGCGCGCCTCAGGTGGCGTCACTGCACGTGGCACAGTGGCCGACATGTGTCACCGCATGTGCAAGTTCTGGCGCCGCAAACGTCAGTGACGGCCTTGTGTTCCCACCAGATTGTGTGGGAGTTGGTCAAGCTTCCAGGCCACTGAGAAGGAGAGGCGGCTAATGGGAAAAAGCCTCTAGAAGCAGGACCGGGACTAGAGCGCCAGGAACTTGAGGACCCTGACAGCCTCCCCTGAAGAAAGCCCCCAAGACAGTTGTGACGGTGCTGTTGTGGGTGGTGGGGGGTGGCAGCTGCAGCTGGGAGCTCGGGCTGTCGGAGCTCGCTATAAATGGCCTCAAAATCGCAGGAGAGGCCAGGCGTGGTGGCTCACACCTGCAATCCTAGCACTTCGGGAGGCCGAGGCACGGAGGTACTGCCTGAGCTCAAGAGTTGGAGACCAGCCTGGCAACACGGTGAAACCCGAAACCCCCCCTCTGCTAAAAGTACAAAAAATTAGCCGGATGTGATGGTGGGCGCCTGCAATCCCAGCTACTCCAGCTGCTGGAGAGGCTGAGGCGGGAGAATTGCTTGAACCTGGAAGGCGGAGGTTGCAGTGAGCCGATGGCGCCACTGCACTCCAGCCTGGGCAGCAGAGCGAAACTCCACCTCCAAAAGAAATCACAGAACACAAGCTACCCACAAAGCCCAGCGCCTGCCCCACGTGCCTTTCCCACCCGCTCCTCCTTGGTCCACACCCAGAATATGGGGCCATCACTGATGTGGCACTCGGGGGCCACAGGATTGGGGATGGGTGGCCAGCTCCCAGCTGATGCCCCCCCTACACGGTGTCCAAGCCAGGGCCAACGGCTGTGGGGCTTCTGGCAGAGGCTCCACTCCCCTGGCATGCAATAGGGACACGGGGTGCGGGCAGCTGTCTCCAGGCTGGCAGGGGGGGCTTGGAGGAGCACCTACCACTGAGGGCAAGATGCAAAAAGGAGCCCCTGTGTGCAGATCCTGGGAACAGGATACTGCAAGCCCCGGGAAGCCAGACTGGGGCAACCCTGGCAGCGGAGTTGAGCTGGATCCAGGCAGTGGTGCTGCGACCCTTCTGCAGAGACCCTCCTGCCACACAACCCTACCCAGCCAGGCTCCAGCCTGCTCACCCAAACCACAGGCACTTTGGTGTGGGATGAAAAATGGAATCCAAGCCTGGGATACTGACATGATCTGGGCAGTTAAAGTGGAGGGGAAGCCAATTACAAGTGCAAAGAGAATGTATTCTTTTGTAACTGAAGTCTTGCCTGATCTGGAGGGTTAAGCTAAGGCTCCTCTTGCTTGATTCTAAATGAACTTTTGAATGAAATAGAGAAAAAGAAAGAAAACACACTCTGAATCTCCTTGTCCCTCTGTGATCCCCTGAGCCAGCAAGCAAGGGGAGGCCTGCCCTCCTGGGCCCTCTCCCCAGCTGAGGGCAGAGCAGTTTCCTCAAGGGTTGCAGGGAGCAGCTGGGCTCCTTGGAGCTGGGCCACCATTCCTTCCTTCATGGGCATCCCACATCTGCCATTCCTCCACGAAGTGTTCCATGATCTGGGTTCAAATCCCGGCTCTGGCACTTGCCACCTGTCCCACCTGGCAAATGCCTTACCCCCAGGCACTTGTTGTCTCCTTCCTGACAGGAGGGCTGGGAGCCAGTATCCCTGGCATGCGGTGCTGTGACAAACACAAGTGGGAGCAGGCAGACATGTGGGCAGGGGGCTCACATGTGCTCACAGGCAGACATGTGCTCACTAGGGGGCACCTACCCATCTGCCCAGGTGGTCTTGTAAGTCTCAGCCCTTATTAGGCACCTGATTATGGTAGACATCTGAACAAAGCTCCAAGCTGCCCTGGGGAATGTGACCACTGGAATAGACCAGGAAGGACAGTTGGGGTGCCTGGCATGAATGGGGAGGGATCAAAGAAATGCCAGACCCTTCCCACCAGCTACAGGTTTTGGGTGATCTGTATGGGGCACTCTCGGTGGGTAGAGAACCCAGAGGTGCCACAAGGCTTGAGCTGCACCCTAACCTTCCTGAGTCCAGCCCACCCATGGCCCGGGCCCAGGGGTACTTTGGGCTCTGAATTGAGATGAGGAGGGGCCAGGTGACATCCTCCTATGTCCCAGGATCTGGTCAAGAAGGTGGTGCCCTGTCACCGCCTGGCTCCATCTGGTCCCAGTAGAACAAGAAGGGCAGGAAGCCCCCAGTACCCACTCTCTGAGCCACCAACACCCAGGTCCACAGTGTGGCCACCTGAGTCAGAACCACCTGCTTTGGGGGCAAGAGCATGAAGGCTCAGACAAGACCAGCATGGTGGAACAGCAGAGGTGGGCAGGATTGCTGTGCGGAATCAAAGAGCCCCTCTCTGGAGACTTGGACATAACCTCGTCATCTTAAAAGAATCTTTTATTGCCGGGCATGGTGGCTCACGTCTGTAATACTAGCACTTTGGGAGGCTGAGGTGGGTGGATCATGAAGTCAGGAGTTTGAGACCAGCCTGGCCAAGATGGTGAAACCCCGTCTGTACTAAAAATGCAAAAATAAGCCAAGCTTGGTGGTGCATGCCTATCATCCCAGCTACTTGGGAGGCTGAGGCAGGAGAATCACATGTACCCCAGAGGCAGAGTTTGTGGTGAGCCGAGATTATGCCACTGCATTCCAGCCTGAGCAACAGAGCAGGACTCCATCCCTCCCACCCAAAAAAAGAATATTTTATTCACACCCATAACACCTTACCTATTTATAGGGTACATGTGAGTGTTTGTTACATGGAGTGAATGTGTATTCTGTCTACTTTGAAATACTGTTTTGCTATCAGACATTACAGCTTATTTCTTCTAACAGTATGTTTGCACCCAATACCCAACTTCTCTTCATTCTCCCTTCCACACACCCAGTCTTCATGGCCTCTGGTATCTGCCATTGTATTCTCTGTGTCCATGAGATGAAGTTTTTTTTAGCTCCCACATGCGAGGACCTGCGTGCGGTATTTGTCTTTCTATGCCTGGCTTATTTCACTTAACATAATGACTTCCAGATCTATCCATGTTTCTACAAATGACATGATTTCATTATATTTTTATTGCCAAATAGTATTCTATTGTGTACACTTCACATATTTTATTTAGCTATTTGCTTGTTGATGGATACTTGGATTGATTCCATATCTTTGCTATTGTAACCAGTGCCGTGATAAACGAGAATGCAGATATCCCTGTGCTATATTGATTTTTTTTAAAAAAGACAGTTTTACCCTGTTGCTTAGCCTGGAGTTCAGTGACACAATCTTGCCTCACCAAAAACTCCACTTCCTGGGTTCAAGTGATTTTCCTGCCTCAGCCTCCCCAGTAGCTGGGATTACAGGCATGTGCCACAAAGCCCAGCTAATTATTTTTTGTATTTTTAGTAGAGACGGGATTTCACCATGTTAGCCACACTGGGCTCAAACTCCTCACCTCAAGTGATCCACCTGCCTCAGCCTCCCAAAGTGCTGGGTTACAAGCATGAGCCACCACTCCCGGCCTAAACTCTTTCCTTTGAATAAATACCCAGTAGTAGGATTGCTGGACCATAAGGTAGTTCTTTAGAGTTTTTTAGAGTTCTCCATACTGGTTTCCATCCTGTTTGTACTGATTTGCATTCCTACTGACAGTGTAACAGAGTTTCTGTTTCTCTGCATTCTCACCATCATTTGTTACTTTTTGTCTTTTTAGTAATAGCCATTCCAACTGAGGTGAGATGGTATCTCATTGTGGTTTTGATTTGCATCCTGATCAATAATGTTGAGCATTTTCTCATATGCCTGTTAGCCATTTGCATGTCTTTTGAGACATGTCTATTCCTGTCCTTTGCCCATTTTTAATGGGATTGTTTCGTTAATTTTGAGAAATTTGAGTTCCTTGTATTACTCTGCCTATTAGTCCCCTGTCAGATGAGTAAAGTTATTTTTTCCCATTCAAGGGGCTGTCTCTTGACTGTGTTGTTTCTTTTGCTGTGCAGAAGCTATATCCTACCTATCTATTTTTGCTTGTGTTGCCTGTGCTTTTGAGATATCAGCCATAAATTATTTGCCTAAACCAATGGCCTGAAGCATTTTCCCTATTTTTTTCTAGTGGTTTCATAATTTCAGGTCTTACATTTAAGTCTTTAATCTATCTTGAGTTGGCATCTATTTTCTACCTGAGAAATGGAAGTTCAGAATGATTTTGCTAAGATAGTAAGAAGACTGTGTATAACTAGAAATAGCGGCCAGGAGAAATCCATTGTGTATGAATAAGGGGGCTTTGTTTTGGCTTTTTGTTCTATGTTTTCGGTTTTTTGAGACGGAGTCTTACTCTGTCACCCTGGCTGGAGTGTAGTGGTAGGATCTCAGCTCACTGCAACCTCCGCCTCCCAGGTTCAAATGATTCTCCTGCCTCAGCCTCCCAAGTAGCTGGGACTACAGGCACATGCCAT